TCTAATACTGTAGCACAGAGTCCTCTTAAATGACCATCTTTATGTGAAGGAGCAAAAGCAGCTCCAAGATTATATCTCGATGTTCCATTAGATCCATAGTATTATAACGAATAAAATAATTATACCCTCCATTAAATAAATTAAAATAACTTCTTGTATGTGCTTCAAGAAATTTGAGAATACTTTTTAAACGTTGATTATTAGAATAATCAGTATATCCTGAACTGATTATTTTTTTTCTAATAAATAGTCTTTAAATTTTTTGTAACTAACAAATATTTTATATTCATTAGTTTCAATATAATCTTCAATAATTTCTTCTCGATTTTCTTTTTCATTGGTTTGTAAAGTGGATTCGAAAGTTTCTTCTTTATAAATTGACGAACAAGTAGATTGGAAATCATCCCAACCCCAAAAATTTTCTGATTTTTCGTAAACTTTCTTTTTTTATTAAATAATTTAATAAAAAATCTTTTTATTTTTGATTCTTTATTAACTAAAGTAGTTTCACTACTAATAGTTTCATGTTTGTTTCTTTTTATGATAAGTTTTTTTAAAAAAGATATTTTAAGCAATTTTTAATATTAAAAAAAAATATAGTTAAAATAAGAAAAAAATTGTTTCTTTTTATATTTAATTGAAAGATTTTTCATCATTAATATATTAAGTTTTGGTCCTGTTTACTATTAATATTTTATTTTTTTTCTTTGTAATATACACACAAACAGTATTTTTATTTCTAGTAGTTTTTTTTTATTTATTCGGACATATACCAAAAAAATTATTTTTTTATTTAAATAAAAAATTTAGATATCTATAAGATATTTTTTTTACGAATATAGTAATTATTAATTTAGTAAATCATTTATTATATCTTTCAATATTTATAATAAAAAAAATTAAATATTTTGTTAATTATTAAAATTAAAATGGTTGGTTAAAAAAAATATAAATAATAACATGATTCTAAATAAACTACGCTTCTTTTTTTTTACACAACAATGATTCCAAAAATCAATCAAATAAATAATATTCTTTTTAATGAATATAACTGCGTAAATTATTTATTTGATAAAAATTTAATTAAACAAAAAACTACTTGTGATATTTGTAATAGTAATTTATACGTATATAAAAAAACATTTAGATGTATTAACAAAAACTGTAAAAAATCTATTTCTATTTATGCAGATTCTTTATTTTCTAAAAATCATATTCTTTGTAATGATATTATTTTATTGGCCTATTTTTGGATAGCCAAAATTTGTTTTACAAATATTACAACTATTACAAAATATTGTAAAGAAACAGTTTGTAGTTATACCAAATTTTTTCGAGAATTAGTTATTGAATCATTAAATATAAATGATAAAATGCTAGAAGGGATTGGTGTAATTGTTGAAATAGATGAATCAAAATTTAGTGATTTTTGGGTTGTAGGAATTACTGAAAGAACTGGTAATAAGAAATGTTATTTTGAAGTTATTAAAAATCATAATTATTCAACTCTTTTTAAATTTATTAAAAGACATGTAAGACCTGGTTCTACAGTATATAGTGATTGTTAAAAAGGTTATAATAATCTTGATAAATTAAATATTAAACATATTTGAATTAATCATTCGAAATGAATATCTCAACAACAAAAAATTAGAAGAATTCATACAAATACAATAGAAGGTACTTGGAATACTTTAAAATTATCAATTCTAAAAGATAAAAGAAGAATTGGAATTATTGAACCATATCTTAAAGAATATAGTTGGCGTTGTAAACACAAACAAAATCTCTGAGAAGCATTTCTTACTTGTTTAAAAAAATAAACTTTATTTATAATAAATTATTACAATTATGTTAAGAACCCAAGACAATTTTATTACTTTAGAAATCAATTTAAAATATTTTTAACTAATAAATAGTCTTTTTTCATTATATTTTAATTTTCTTGTTTGACAATTTTGACATGCTGATAAAATGTATTTTCTCTGTTTTGTAATAAAATTCTTTTCAACATGGAGGTTTTGCATTTTATGATATTTACAAGATTTTTTCTTTAATTAATACCAATGACAAACTTTGTTCATTTTTTTTGCAAATATTTGAATTTATATATATTTTGTTTGAACAAATATTCAAGTTTATATATTTTATTATTTATTAAACTACTGAGTTATAAATTTCTTTTAACTAAATATACATTAAAATTTATCATAATAATATTTTTTATATAGTATTAATTTAAAATTAAAATAGAATATATTAAAAAAAAACAAATATTTTATATATTAAAATAATTATTGTCGACTTCATAAATATTTTAATATATAAAATATTTGTTTTTTTTTCTAAGATTCTATTTTATTTTTAAATTAACACTATATAAAAAAAAATACAATTACAATATTTACAATATAAAACTATTTTACTATTTCTACTCTACTCAAGTAACAACCGAAATTCTTAATTATTCACTTTCTTAATAACCCTTCCCAACTCAAATTTCTTTCACAGTGTGCGCTCTTAGAATCTTCTGAACCTGGGTCTACTCAATATTTAGAAATCCATCATGGTAGAGGTAATAATGAAAAAATAACAAAAGTAAAAATATGCAATATATAAAACTATATGTTAAAAAATAAACCGTTCTAGAAACTTTTCTATTAAAGTATTCCAAAACCAAAATTGATAAAGTGCATTTATCATAATAGTAATTATTATATTAATAATAACTACAGAAATAAAAAGAAAAGATCTGAATAATAAAGTTTTTGAATAATATAGTAAATATCACTTTGATATTCACTAGCAAAAAGATGTGTAAAGAATAGTCCTAAAAGGACTATAAACGCAAGAGTAATGAAAAAGATTTTATAAAACATTTTTAAAATTTATATAAAGTTGTAATTTCAAGTATTGAAGTTATAATATTTGTTAAAAATTTTATTTAAATAAACAAAATTTAAAGTAATAAACACAATGATTACGATAAAAATTCTATGTTCTTTTATCGTTATTTTAACAATATAAATTTATAAAGTACTTGATTTATTTAAAATATATTACTAAATTAATATAAATAATAAATTACATGCATATTATCAATTTACTTTATTTAGTAATTTCATAGTTATGCATGTTTATTGTACTATCCAATATTTTGAATATCTTGTAACACTCTAAAAATTTCATCAATTTGTCTACTAGTGGTTAAAGTTGTTATACTTTGTATTTCTAATCCTAACTAATTTTTGATTTAAATTATTATTTGTATTATTACTACTAACTAAAAAATTTCTTATATGATTAACTTGAGAGGATATTAAATTCATGATTAATTAGGAATTGAGAATCTAGATCTTGGTATTGGTAATATTTCAATTAATTTATGAACTGGAGAATATCGTACTTGTCCATTTCTTTCAATTCTCTCAACATAAAGGCCACCTTTATATTGATTTGTAACCTTTCTATTTTTATTTAATATATCTCGATATTTTCCTGCTCTCCAAGTTATCAATTTATCAATTACACTATCTGGTAGAGCTAATACAGGTGTTTTAGCATAACATGAACCCTTTGGTCTTGGTGGTATAATTACTGGATTATTTCTTCTAATTCTTGGTCTTCCAACTCTTTTCGGTTGTTTAATTCTACCAATTCTTCTTCTCGTTCTCGTAGCATATGAATCACAAGTAATAAAAATCAAATATATTATCAATAAAATAATAAAAGATTTTTTTTTTTTTTTTGGTGTTAAGGTGGCCTCTTGGCCGGCTCCTTTTATTCGGTTATAGTTAACTTTTACAATA